TACTAACAAGTGAATGCTAAGATACATGAGCATGTAATTAGAAAAAGATATTGATTGTGATATCCTTAATTGATACAATTTTGGACGATACTTCTATGATAATTGTATATAAAATAATAATGATATTAAATGATAATGTAAGATATAATTAAATATTTTGATCGATCATATTCATAAATATAAAATGCCAAATGCTATTATACTGATTTAGTAAAAATCTAAATGACATTCATATTATTTTATTTTTTCATTGTGTTATTATAGTTTAGGAGTAATGATATTCACTTATTTGTTAGCTCGTTTTATTTTAAAATAAATTTTAAAATTTAAAATTTCAACGTAAAAAAATGAGTAATAGAGAAGGAAATATACACAGAAGATGTAAACAACCAAAAGGTAAATTCAATTGTATTACTCCAATTTAATAGACTATTTCACTATGTTTAGATTATAAATTATTAGTTATCGAAAATGGGAAAAAAAAAGTAAAGATTTAGTTCAAATAAAGTGTATTAAAGATGAAAATAAATAAAAAATATTTTACTTAAATAAAGATATTCAACATAAGTTGGTGAGTTATTTTGATAAATTTTTCAATGATTTTTCTGAAAACATGATGAGCTTCCGTGATCTTAATATTGTTAATAATATTAAAATATTTTATTTTTATCATCATATTAGTAAAAAAGAAATTGAAAAAAATTTACAAAAAATCAATTGTGAAAAATCAGTTGGACCTGATGATATCCCAAATCAAAATTCATAGTAAAATCCAAATCCATAATTTTCATTTTTATCAAATTTTCAATAGTCTAATCCTCACAAGCAAAAATACATTGGTTCCGTGGTTAAAAAAATCACTAATTTGTAAATATCATGAAGCGTAAATACAGGCTCTAAAAATTGACACACCCGAAGGGAATCAATCTAACTTCTAGGTTTAAGCTACAAAGGACAAGGACATTACCCTTAGGATGAAGCTGTTCCAGATGGCGCGGCAGGTGAAAACGGAGGCATTGAACGGAGGGGGGAGAAGAATGGCCACATCGGAGTTGCAGCTATCGAACTGACCGCTTGCGGTGGATATCACGGCCGCGAAGGCAATAATGGCGGCAAGGAAATCGCCGGCGGCCATCCGAACCAGTATGGATCTGGAACCGGAGCAGAGCATCGCGAAGGAGTTGGAGGGGTTCTCATTTAGAAGAAGAGGGAAAAAATTAGGTTTCGGGAGAAAGGGAGATGAGAGTGAAGCGGTTGTTGGGTTGCCGTCGCTTGCGCTTTAAGGCAGAGCAATTTTAAGATGCTGGTTGCAGGAGTTGGCGGGAGCCTATCTCGATTATCGAGAACGATTTTTAAAGATTGCTTTTCCGGTTTTTTTGAATGATGGGAGGAGGGTTAATTATATTAGGTTTTGTTAAGCTGTTTAAATCTTGAGAGAGAAAAAAAACATTTGATTGAAAACTTAGGGGTTTTAGTAGCGCTCTCATGTTCGACTCGTTCGAAATTGTTCGTGATCGAAATCGGGCTCATGTTTAAAATTATCTCGTGAATAGTATGTTTTTGTTCGGCTCGAAATGGAGTTGTTAAAATTAATTGATAAAAATAGATGTAAAGTGTTGGAATTAAATTCTGCCAAATAGATGCAAAAAAAAGGACACATAACCACAATACTACACAAGTTATTATTATTTAAAATTTAAACTTAGATAAATTTACGTAATATATTATTTTATAAATAATATATATGATATATTATTATATAAATAATTATATCCATTTTTTTTATTTCGAGCTAAACGAGTCGAAAAAAAAAAATAAAGGTTCAGGATTGGCTTGTTTAACTGGGCTTAAAACAGAGATTGATCGGGCGATATAATAAATATTTAAATTATTTCACTATAATTTAAATAATAGTGCAATTATATATTAATATAATTTTTTTATCGATTGAACACATAATACATCAATTTAGGACAATATTTTTTTAATATTTTGAATAATATTCTAAATAAAAATTTAAGATATTTTATTTTTTCTATTTTTAATTTGAATATCTTATTTATGACCCTCCGATCAAAATCAAATGATTAAAATTGGTTGGACACTATTTACACCAACCAATTTTTTAAAAATCGGAGCGAGTTCAACCCTGGATCTCTGTTTCTAACCAATTCAATCTTGGTTGTATGCAGAAACGGTTCTGAATTTGGACCGAGCCAATTGAATGACCGTTTCGCGGTTGAACCAGTCAGTCCGATCCGATTTTTAAAACCATCACTTAAATATCAAACTTTCAGTGTTAGATATATGAATACATAAAACTTGTCTGGTATGTATGTAAATTTTTCTAAATTATGCAAAATATTCAATAAGCATATATGTGTGTGTGTTCATATACGAGGTTGGAATCATGAGCAATTAGATTGGCTTTCATTCATCTTTGATTAAATAAAATTCTATATAACATTAGGATTTTATTATTTAAGTCCCTTGTAATTTTATATATTATAAATATTTTGCTACCCCTGAATTTCTTAAAGCATTTTGTTCAATGAGTGTAAATGAGCCAAATAAGACTTGGCACGATAGTAAATGATAACTTCAATGTGTTTAATCAGCTAAACTGATGTTACATATCGTGCTTAGCTCATTTCCAAATTCCTCATAATTATAAAGAAAATTTGAACTATGGAACAAAAATTATCAAAGTGGATAAAATTCAAAATTCTCAATCAAAGATATTGGATATGATAACTTTCGAGAAGGAAAAAAGAAATTATGTCACGTGTCTAGAGAAGACGGACCATACATTAAAGTATATATACATTTTTTTATTTATTGGGTTTGTCGTGTGACGTGGCGTCATTTCATTGGAGTCCTGATGCATTTCTCCATCAGCACTCTTGATGTACATTAAAGTATAGATTTTTTTTTTTATTGGGTATGTCGTGTGATGTGGCGTTATTTCATTGGAGTCCTGATGTTTTTTTTTTACATCAGCACTCCTGATGTAATATTATTTCTTCAAGAAAAGCGATCATGATTTAGTTTTACAAAGAGAAATGTTTTGTGAAAATAAAATTGAATAGTAAAATTCGATCAATTTCAAAGAAAGGTTTAAATCAAAAAGAGGAGTTTTGGCGCTATAACAAGAATAGACTTGCCAGCGAATTTTGTCTTGAAGATTATGAAAAGAAAAATTATAATCTCGAGGCCATTCAACAATTGTTGGACATAACCATAGAAATGTTGGTGTTTTTATTTTAGAAAACACCATATGTAACATGAATAGATTCTTAATTTTGGTTTTTGTCTATCATATGACTCCTTTAAAAATATTTAAAAAGTTAATATAAAAAAAAAAAGTCATAGTACAAAACAATAAGGCTTGTGATGCTCTTAACATCAAAACTTATTTTAATTAAGACTCATGGGAGTTAAGTTAGGATGCTAAAAAAAATAAAATATGTTTCTGACTTTTAGAAAATTTTAATTTATTATGAAACTTTGGATAGCTTTGGATATGAGTTTAGCTCCAAGAAGGGATTGTTAATGGTTTCACGGAGTAAACTTATGATCTTGAATAGTTATAAGAAAAAGGGGGTTTTGTGTTAGAAGATGTTACGGTGATTAGTAAAACTCATGTCTCGATTAAATGAGATTTGGATAAAATAAAATTATAGCATTGATGATTGAAACAACTGAGTGATGGGGCGTTGTTAGAGTTGCAGAAATATGGATTAGTTAATGG